AGAGTCAAATGAAACAAATGAGTTTAGCTTCCCTTTCTTAATAAAAATAATGACAGTTATGGGGCCAGTGATATGCTTGTTAAATATACCAGAAAATGGGGGATGTAAATTCTTAGTATATTAGGGTACAGTATTTTTCCCTTGAGATGATAAGACATTCATGCACAAAGGATTACTGATTTTAATTTTCTTTGTTGAGCAAAAAGGAAGAATTGAAGGTAGAAGTTTCTCAATGAGGCTATGTGTGCTCTCAATCCAGAAGCTCCCATTTCCTTTTTCTTTGTTAGATATGTGAGTCTCAGCATCCACGTTGCCCTGGTGTTTCCACAGCTTTCTCTAGCACTATACAAGCAGTTGGAATTCAACCCAATGCACAGAAAGCTCTGACCCCTTGCTCTCTACCTGAGAGGGGTCAGAAACTAATGACCTTATATTTTATAAAATACATACAAGTCACTCTCATATTCTGCATGTACTACATTTTCTAAGACTTGTATATTCAATAGTAGATGCTTTCTACATTACCCAAAGCATTTAACTCAATTATCAAGAGCATTTATCAATATAAAAAATCATAATTGACCCCCCCTTAACCTCCCTCTCTCAATTTTTCTTCTATTCTTCTCTCCTTCTTTCCCTTCCATAGAACTGTTAATCAATATTTCTAGCATAAAGTGAATGAAATTACTGTATACAAATGAGGATATTAGTTGTTATTTTGTCATAATTAATAGTCTATAGGAATATAATGAAATCTAAGCAAACAATCTATAACAATGATGTGAAAATGTCTTTGATTTTGTGAGCAAACATAAAATAGGCTTTCTGAAGCTATCTACTTACAGTGCCCAGCATTATTCTCCAAATCCTCTCATGTCCCAAATTTCTTAGCTTCTTAAATTGTTTCTTCCAAATACTTCTTTACAATGCATGAGTTTTACTGTAAATGACGTCTCATTAAAAGAGTAAACTCTTTATCTCAGACACATGTATTGATGTCATTGCTCATTTTTGCCTCTAACACCTACAAGAGAGGAATACATTCTTGGGAGTAGTGCTGACTTCATTCTGAAATCGCAGTAGGCAATGGGTGACCACCAGCAACATGAGCAAAGGAGCTGGAAGTGATTTCTCCCTTTTCAATGCTTTGGGAGCCTTGTCAGTCCACCTAAGATTCTTTCTCACTCCTTGGGGGAGGTCACTCATACAGAGAGAATCTCTCCATTCTTCTCTGCTGTCAAACTATGTCCTGGATGATTCTGTGTCTAATTGGGTATTTTCTGTCTTCCAGTGCTGACCTTTACACCTCCCAATTCCTGTGCCACAGCTGGGCCCTGAGCAGTACTTCAAATAAAAACCTTGCATTAATGTTCTGTATCAGCTAAGGGAACCCAGTGACACATCATTCCCTCCATCATGATTGTGTCCTGATTGTTGTTTTAGTCTATTGGAAGGGATTACATCATATGATATGTGCCCCATCTGAAGCATTATTGCAATTCTTGTTTTTAAACTAATAAATTTATTTTATATCCAAGTGGAAAAGAGTAAATGCCCACAAATAAATTTTTATTGTTGTCTTTTTTCTTGTGGAATTTTTTAAAAATAAAATCTCCCAACTTAAAAGCCTATAGCTCTTTGATCTGGTTTGTGTGACATCAGAATTTTGTGTAGATTATTAAAACCTGCTCCTGGTTTAAGCTATGATGCATTGAGACTATCATCTAAAACAATAATCCTAAAGGTATTGTAACTTTTAGGAAGTAAAATTGCCATGAAAAATTAAAAGTCACTTCAATGCTTAAAAGCAGACATTAAAAATTAGTGATAAAACAAACGGGAGAAGTCCAAGGTCACAGGAACCTTTCCCATCCCTACTATAGACCTTGCAAGCCTGGTTTAGAGTGGGACTGAAATCTGCTGCAATCAATAATAATCCTAATAATGTGGCCCTATTTCTGCAAAACTCCTTCCATAAATTGTCACTTAATGGAATTGAACAAAAAGTGGTTCTGAGGCATTCACAGCATACTCGCTGTCATTTGGGGACACAGGGTAAGAAGCCTTCCTAATCACCAGACCTCAAGGTTAAGGAGACAAGGCAAATGTGTTTCCGCTGCTACTAAAAACTAGTACTGTGCTATAGACACACACTCACAGAAAGTAAGAAACAAGGGTAGAAACCAGCAAAGGCTGCCCCCTGAACAGCAGACAGAGCATCTATTGGAAGAGACTCAAAATGTATATAAAAAGAAAAATGGGTTTTTTCTCTTGCTTGAAATTAACAGAATGAAATAACAAAATAAAAGTGTGCTCACAATGGCTAATGTTCAGTAATGTGTCACTTATGAGCCTCAAAATCCATTGCTGACACACTTTTCTTTGATTCCATATTCCAGACCACTGGTTCCTATTAAAAATGGTAGGATATAAAAAGAAAGTAAAGTGTCATATTAAGCAGGATGATCCAAACACTAGATGGAAAAGGTGCCAATGCCTATGTTATATTACCACCACAGACCCCTGAAGACTATATCTCCATGATGCTTATGAAAATGGTTTGATACATTGAACTGTTATCTGTGATGAGCTTACAGCCCTAAATAATGATGACACTAGGAAGGCAAATAATGTCAGAGCACGAAGTGCTGTTTCTGGAGCTGAGCTGGGCTTTATCTGGTGACATCTCCTGTGACAGTTCGGCTGAGAATGCTAAAGGAGTGTTTTTATTCCTGAACTTCATGGGGACTCTGGGAAGAGTTATCCTTCAAGGCTCCGAGCTGCTTATCACTCCATCTCCCTTTCACTTCAAACCTGCCACTCTTCACCCTCTGGGGAGATAAAATCAAGAGACAATTGTGCCTGCCCACACCAAAAAGTGACTTAGGTACCTAGCCCCTGTCACCTGAAAAAGCAAACCCAGGGCATTCAATTTGTCACGGTATAGAACATTGAAAGATAAAAGCTGTCTGGTTCTCAGTTATCACCAAAACAGATAAATTGCAACTGACTGATGCTGGAGTGTCAGAAGTCTGAAAAGTGCCGGGCTGTTTATATTTTCTGCAATGTTTTAACAGTAAATTAGAAAAGATTCTGAGCAACATTAGAACTGACAGAGTATAGAAACCAGTATCAATAAAATGACTCGGAAATGGAACGAAGTCTCAGCTTTAAACATCAAGTCCAAATTGATCTGTAGACAGAGAAAGACTCCCCCCTAGAAAAATAAAATGCAGCCAAAAGCTCATCGATAGAGACAAAAGATGGACTTGGCAAACTCATTACAGTGCCTGTGAAGCTGTCTGATAAACCACAGGACAGAGACAAAGCTTTTTGTTAAAAGAGCACTCTGAGGTCTTGTACTCCATCTGCCAGATGCAGCCTCCAAGAACATCCCTTAGCAAGACATGTGCAAGGCATGAGGAAATGAAGGAGTGAGTTAGTGTATGAGTCAGACAACTTTGGATCACTCAGAGGCATTGCCTGGACTGTCTCAAATTTGTCTTATGCTAATGCCCAACAATGGAACAAATATCTCCAATCACTAGTTATGAAAAGATCAACATTTGGTAGACCCAAAATTTAGCTAACCATTCATTTAAAATCCTCCATATCTGTGGGTGACAGGTCTGAATGGACCAACCCAGTGTCAAAGGGTTGCTCATTGATTGTCAGAATGGGAATCTCTTCCTGGTTGGTTCAAAGGTACATTTTCTGTTGTGCCTCCTTCAGAACTCTTGGGTCTGTATGTGGTGTCAAAGTATTCAGGTTTATAGATTTAGCACTGTCTTAGAGTTTTATTTCTTGAATAGCCACCATTACCATGGCAACTCTTATAAAGGAAAACACTTAGCTGGGGCTGGCTTACAGTTTCAGAGGTTCAGTTGATTATCATCATGGTGGCAAGCAAGGTGGCATGCAGGTAGACATGGTGCTGGAGAAGGAGCTAAAGTCTACATCTGGATCACAGGCAGCAGGAAAAAGACTGTCAGCCACTAGACCTGGTTTTGGCTTCTGAAACCTCAAAGCCCACCCTCTAGTGACACATTTCCTCCAACAAGGCAACATCCTCTCCAACAAGACCATACCTCCTAATAGTGCCACTCCCTATGAGTCTCTGGGGGTCATTTTTCTTCAGACCATCACAAGCTCTAAAATGATTCCAAGACTTCTAGTTTAGAAAAACTCACCTCAAGCTATTTACAGATCCAGGGCTGGAAATTACATGCTCAGTGATTCAAACTGGAATAGCTACTTTGAAACAGAGAGAGTCTGTGGCCATTGGAATGCTCTGCCATTTCGATCAAGAGGACTCCTATTGAGGACAAATAGCCTGCAGCTGAGTTCTCTTTAGTTACATGCTGAGACTTGTTGCTATAGTTCCAGTGAATGTTGTTGCTATAGTTCCAGTGAGCAGTAGAGACTACACAAGGGAAGTGAAGAGTAAAGCTTTTCTTGTGGCCTTCCTGTCTCCCTGACGACACTTTCAGAACTATAATATAAGCTGAAGACCCTTCCTTACTACCCGGCCCACTGCAATAGAGCCATTCTAAATAACTGGCCTGGCATTCCCCAATATCTTCAAGATATTCAAGCTGTCTTTTAAATTATGGTAATTCTCCTGCTTCAACATCTGGACTGTTGTAGTAACCAGCACGTGCAACATATCTGGTGCTCTATTCCTCTTTAGGGACCACATCTACATTAGAATATTAAAGTTCTTCTCTCTATCTTACTCTTTAATTCAGGGCACTACTCCATTAAATATCTTGCATACAGAATGTTGCCTGGGAAATAGCATCTTTGGGAAGCTGAGGTAGCAAGAGTTTATATCCAAACATTAAAGATGGCTGCCAGACTTTGATTTGACTATCTACAGGGTCTACTTATGAAAAAGTAAGGAGTGCTTTATCAGAATGTTTGTGAGGTATTAATAGCACATAGCAGGGCATTCTGGTTTTATGCCATGTGGGATTTAAATAATTTTTCTGTTTCAACAGCGTCCTAAGGAGAATGCAGAACTCATTGTGTTTTCTCAAGGCATCTGATAATGTCACAGAAGAATCTGTATTGGTCCATGCAAATATTGTACCCTGATGAAAAGCACTAAAGGATACTTGGAAGGATGTATGGGAAATATGTATTATGTGGAGCTGGAGAAAACTGGGCAAAGGTCCAGATGGGTAAAGCACCTGTCCCTGGGATTCTTACAGAGCATTGGCTGTGTACCAGCAGTGAATAAAGCACATTAAATACTGTATGCATATAGATGCAAAACCAAGATGTAATCCATCTGACAAGCCTGCAAAAGAGATGATACCTTCCTTGCCAAGCATGAAATAGTCTAAGCTTGGACTGTTTGCTTAATTTGACAAGTAATATAGTTTGTAAAGAGCCAGCATCTAAGTGAAGTTCTGTCATTCACTAAGCTCTGGGAAAACTACAACCCACAGTCTTCTCTTCTTGGAGAATGATATCAAATACCATGTGTTTAATTTCTATAAGCAATGTGAGTAGAGAGACACAGATTCCCTCTATAATGTAAAATCACTATTTCCCCAATCAGTATCTGCCATAGCTTGATACCAAGAATGCAGAAGAGGGATGTGGTTTGTGGACTGTTCTCCAGCACTCCCACAAGTGCCTTGTTGGTTTGTGGGCAGGACGAACAGAAGGCTAAAAAAGGTAGATTGAGCGAAAAGATCACATCTCCCCTGAAACACTGCATCTCAGAAGACAGGGGCACAGTCTCCTCAACACAGTATAGACTGTTCTTGATTTCAGTTCTAACTGTGTTGTCAGTACCAGTGAAATGCAGAAGGCTTTCGTGCTGACAGCATGCTAACTAATCAAGAGCTGTAGACTTTTGCCATTCTCTACAAAACTTTATCTAATGTGGTAAGATCTCATCAGTTTTTGCTCATGCATAGCCTAGGAATACAAAATAGCAAGTCTATTAGAGCAGAATGGCCAGTACGTATTTCTGGGAGAATTCTTTCTGCTTTAACAGCCCTGGAATAATTGTACTACTGTTATCTATAAAAGAACCAATGTCAATTTTCTTTTTATGTTATATTTCTACCTCTTTGTCTTAATGTTTTATTTCTTTCTTGTCCTGTGAGCTTACCTCCTGTTGAGACAGCTTCACTACAGTCTCATCCTAGGTTTATCTGTTAGAACACAGACTATGGTAGTTGGTATAGCAGGTAAGCCAAGAAATGTTATGGAATTCTAGAAATGGATCTCTCAAGAGCATTTAATAGCAGTGACAATGCCTGAAATACACAGAATCCCAACTACCACAGTGTATTTGGGGACTACAAGGGTGAGGGACAGGAGAGAAGGCTGAACATTAGGTCATCCTGAAGCACTGGAACCTAAAGAGTGTGGATCAGTGGTGACTGTGAAGACTTTTGAATTTACTGGGTTTCACAAACTATCTTGGAAGCTTTAATCAAACCAAGAATGTAAGGTCCAACTACTAACCTAGAACTCTGACAGCCAATAGGCTTCCATGGTAATATTTAAACATCCCCTGTAGTCTTAGGGCAAAGCATGCCCAAAAGGAAGGCCAGAATTGGATCACAATGACAAGAGGTACATGGAGAATCAATATGTAATTTGAAAATGCATTATTTCCTAGACCAAGGACCCTTATAAGAATTAATGGCTCTTGGACATTGGGCATAGAAGAATGTAGTTGTCTGTACATTGAACAGAGGTACAAACAGAAGTCCCTTTCAACCCATCATTTCCAGTAGTGTGCCTATAGAAGATGTGTGGTATAAATATTAACCTCACTGCACTGGAGAGAAAAGCAGAGACAGATTTCACCAAGACATCTTCTACCGAAACTGGGGCTGTAATTGTGCTATTTGCTGCAGGAAAGGGGGTTCTGATTGTAAATGCTGTTCTAGGTGCCACTAGGGTTCAGAGAAGAGTGTGTCTGCCGTGCTCAGATCCTGGGGTGTTCTTTGGTACTTCAGTGCCTGATGATAACTGTGACTAGAAAAATCTTAGCACGGGGCTGGAGAGATGGCTCAGAGGTTAAGAGCACTGACTGCTCTCCCAGAGGTCCTGAGTTCAATTCCCAGCAACCACATGGTGGCTCACAACCATCTGTAATGAGATCTGGTGCCCTTTTCTGTATACATAATAAATAAAAAATCTTTTTAAAAAAAAAAGAAAGAAAGAATATCTTAGCACCAACAGCACCAACAGGGCAAAGCAAGTAAGAAGGTAGACTCAGAGATAAAGGTCAGGGATATCCACTGGGTGAGCAGCTTTGTTCTGCAGAACTATTGGATGAGCAGGAAAAGTTCAACAGAACTAGATGAAGAGGGAGATTGTAGAGGTTACTTAAGGTCTTGACAGCATGCATGCTACTGCTTATTCACTAACCCCATTTAAATAAGCTAAAGGATAAGAATTGTACCAGTCTTCACTTTGAAAATGCAGTGACAAAATGGATTCAGTGAAGGACCTTAAACAGACAATCTGAATAGTGAAACAGTCTGTGTTGGCCAGGTGCCTCTTGGCATATGCCACTTTTAGCCTCACCTGTGGTGTCAGATGGTTTCAGACAGACAAAGTTCATCTCTTGCTGTACCACACATAAGCACAGCTTGTGTCAATACCTTCATAGCATTCACAGATGCCAACAGGACTGGCTTTGTTCATCTGAACAAGCAGCCTGAAACAAACACCCTTGGTGGTGACCTTCAACCAATTGGAGGAAAGCATCAGTGAGAAAGGGCCCATGAGTCATGACAGCATTGCTGGGAAGGATTTTGCTCATCACTCAGCAGTTCTGGATGAACTGAACCCAACTGCCTTTAGCAATGAAAGCAGTAATGTTCACTTATATTGGCTTATCTCCGTTCTCTGTCATTCTGCTTCCTTCCCTCTCTAATTTCTGCTTTTCAAGATCATCTCCCAGACAAACTACCTGCCCTGGAGCCTCTTTGCAGGCTCTAATTTTAGTGAAAACTAAACTAAAACACATAGAATGATTCTAAAATTTTTACTTCCTTCCTGCCACCCAACTGCTTTGACTAATGTGGTCACTCCTATTGGAAAGGTAGGCAGGTTGCATTCAAGAGAAAGAATATTTATTATTTGGAGCACCTGAGGTATGAGTCTGGGTTAGCTGCCAGATTGCTGATTTTCATGGCTTAGCAGAATCGTTACCATAAAACTTGGAGGCTGAAAATCCACTGTCATAGCCAGACAAGTTGTTGCTACAGGAATTTTTAACATTCACTCAGATAACATATTTTTTAGAAAAAAATCTACCCTGGAGCAAAATTTAAAGGTTTGCAGGGAGTATACCTCACAGACCTATAATTTTTCACCTTTCAGAGACCCATACCCATCTCCTGCCATCATTAATACTGCTTTAGGAGCATTCCAAGTTGTCCCTGGTGAGCTGTCTGCTACTAGTTCTAATCACCACCATCTAAGAAACATGAAGTGCAAGAGTCTCTAAAAGCTTAGATCAATGAGTCATGAAGAAGCTAAATGGAATGCCTAGACTCCGGGTCCCAGTGCAGCATGTGGAATGTTGATGGGTGCTCTCTTAGGTACAGCAGTGGGAATAACAAAGCAGTTAGCAGTTTCCAACCACAAATTACTGAATTATTTTGTATGTTCTATAGCCAGCCTTTGAACTACATGATCCTGTCCTTATTTTCTGAAACAGAATGCATTTTTTAAAATGTTGTACTGTATAATAGTACCTACAAAAATCACACATGGGAAATCAAATTTCTTGAGTTCAAGAACACTTGGTGCTTAAGTTTGAAGGATTCAAACTGTACTGTCACTCACAAAGTTGCTCTTTTCCCTTTTATGTGATTGTTTGTTGTGCCCTAAATGCAAATAGTGTCTTTGAATGTGTGATTTGTCTCTACTGGGAGTCCTTATTGTGTCTTTGAGGTTACCCAAAACTCTAAAGAGTATTTACTTATCCTTTAGATGAAAGTGAAGGTGTGGGCCAGAAGTGAATTGGTAGAAATAGAATAGAACTGCCACTTTGTTCTGCGTCCATGGAAATCTACAACGAAGGTGCCACTCTTTCTATGAACCTACATAGCTTCTCATTTACACAAATTTCTGAAGAGTAGTTGTGAAAACTATTCTTGATTGTCAACTTGACCACATCTGGAATTAATAAAAATCCCAAACTGGAGAGCACACTTGCCAGGGATTTTTGCTTAGTTTGAAGTAGGAAGATTACTTCTAATCTGGATCTTTAAGGTAGAAAGACTAACCTATCATCCAGATCTTTTTAACAGGGAAAAAGATTATTCTCTAATCTGGATCTTGAGGGAAGACATACAACTTTAATCCATATCTTGAGTTAGAAAGAAATACCTTTTTTTTCTGTGCCACATCTTCCACTGGAAGCCTATACATAAAGGAGGAAGGAAGCTTTGGCATTTTGCTAGCTTGTTCTCACCTTCCAAGCAAATTCATTCCTTCACTGGCATTAGAGTCTACATCTTCAGGATTCCGGTGTCTACTGAATGCAAGCTGAAACATCCAGCCTTGTGGACAGAGCAACTTCTGGCTTCTTGAACTTCCCATTCATTGTAGGATTAGCTGGACCACATTCTAATAAATCCCATATATGTATATATGATTTCATATACATAAACTTATATAATGAATATATTTATGTATTTTCATAATAGTTATAGATAATATATAATTATGTATACATAGTATATATATTCTATAAATTCTGTTACTCTAGAGAATCCTGAGAAAAACATGAGTGTAAGGAATTCATTCTTTATGTGCTCCAAAAGTTCCCACAATATGTGGTTGAAAGTGACTATATTATTACATTATATGTTCATATAGACATAATTCTATGAACTTTAGGCATACCTGTAACCATGCATAAGGTTTTCAACTGATATTAATTAATGAAGAGCTAAGACCTTTAGAACAAGAGAATTATAATAAAGTATGTAGATACTCATTTTTAAAGCAAAACACTTACATAGCTGATTTAAAAATCAAAAACAAAAATAAAACCTTGGAATGCATTTTTAAAATACAGATTTCAGGACCTCACTATCAATGACAGAATCAAAACATTTTAAAGCAGACCCCCAAGGTTGGTGTTTTCAAAGAAACTCCCTCTTCCTATCCATTGGTTGTATCAGATGACTTAAGAATAAAGTTATAGGACTTTGAAGAAAGAAAATTGCATGTTATATTTTTGGTCCTTGTGTGTTCAAGGTAACAACTTTCAGGACATCTCAAGGTAACTTTTTTCCACTGATATGTGTAGGTGGTAGTTTCTGTGTCTGGCTAGCAACTCCCAAATACCTGGTAGCCACTTCCCAAATATTGACTCAGAGACTTAGTATTAATTATAGATGCTCAGGCCCTAGCTCAAGCTTATTACTAACTAGCTCTTAAGCTTAAGTTAACCCATAATTCTTATCTAAGTTTAGTCACATGGCTTGGTACCTTTTTTCAGTCCAACATTCTCAT